ATAGGGGCAATTTGCGAAAAAAGCTCAAAATCAGATATTGCATAATTTGGCTATGTTTACATATAATGTTCTCAACAACAAACGTTTCAGACATATGAAACGTGCGAGGCTTTGAAAGAATGCTATCTTATGAGCAATATCCCGAAGAGAAATCTCGCCTCTGGTTGTCATCTTTTAAAAAACAATTGATCAACCTTCAAGGAGGACAACTCGACGTAACTACAAACATATACCTCAAATCGTGTGCATATCATCCAGATTCCGAGTGCTGCACCTTCTTTCATGGGAATTGCACACAGTTACACTTGTATGTCATCTGAAACATGTTGAAGTCGGCTGATCTACACGAAACTATCCTCACACCGGTTGTAACGAGCCGCGACATTACAAATAACAAGACACAAGAAGCTTCACTCAGAACTCAATGCATATGTATTGGAAGCTCGTGTTCTTATATCCTCGCTCGGTTGTTGCACACACGTGACCTTCTTGTAAGGTCACCTGACGTAAAACATTCCCTACTTTAATCCTATTGTTACACCGGTCATTTGTCATAAACATTTACGTTATCACGATGGCGTGACGCTATATTTCTCCGTGGTTTCCATCGGTCGCTCTAAAGAAGATGAGAAATGGATATTTTACGTGTATGTCTTTACTTACTTTCTAAAGTAAAAACAACCCTCCCCCTCAAAAAAAGAGGAAAACTTCAATTGAACACTCGTAAACACTGAGAATCTGAGAGTATAAATCGTAACTTGTCAGCGGCAGTTCTGCATGTAAATCCAGTTGCAACAATAGCAATTTGAACGACATAGGCATCTCCTCACAAAGAGCAGATGCGGGCAGTTATCATTTCCTTGTGATAGGAACTAAGATATTTCGTATCATCTGAAAACTGTCAGAAAACTGTTATAAAATTTGCATAAGATATGATGAGGAGAGACTTATCACCGTCGCATTGCAATCGAGTCAATCAATGTTTCCTTCCATGTCTTGATAAAGAAAAAATCATAACAAAGTTCGAAATAAAAGATTTAATTAAATCATAATGTCATAATTCCACCTTTCAAACAACTTATTATCCACAGGTAAATCGCAACTTGTCACTTGAACGAAACTCCCCATGGTTAATATGTAATCTAGATTGCTTCATTTCCTTCAGGAAAAAGAACAGCGATTTCATCACCATTATTTCCCATACTTTTCTCCCGGATATCTTTTACAAGCTTAAAGAAAGATGAGTATAACGCAATCTCCCAGTGATGTACACGAGAGGAAGTCAAAGGTCTCTTTAATTTTCCCCTGAGGTGGCCGGTGTCCCAGCGGATTTGGACCCCCCTCCGCGGATTTGGACCCCCCCAACAAAACTGAGTGAAAACATCATCCTTAACGTTTTAGTAAAAATGGATGATACTTTACGTTCCAGTGCGTACAAAGTATGTTTTTAATTCAAAACATGCGTATCGTTAATACATACGAACTGGCATCCCGTTGGATGTTTCTTTTGATCAAGGGAAAATGGGCAAGAATTTAGTTTAATGTCTGGAGAAAGGTCGTTTCTGAACCTTTTCCGCGACAGCCGAACACCGCTGGATTCAACAAGAGAAAAATTTGTGACACTAATTTATTTTGTCATTGTTCAATGCCCGAGTGTTGGGACGAAATGGTACAGTGCGAGTTGTGCGAGGAATGGTTACACATGAGCTGCGAGGGATTTGAGACTGCCCCGGAGGACGAGTCTGCAGATCGCCAGACTCTACACGTCTTCGTAATTGTTAAGGTGTTATTTCGGACCCTCAACAGTTAATAATCGTTAAAATTAGAAAATAAGATTGAGTTCGATGTAATAGTCTCCACTTTTGTTAAGACGTAGACATTAATGTTGATTTGCATCTGAAAATAAGCTGAGAGTTCCAATAGTTCAGAATAGAAACATTTTTACTTATCATAGGCTTTACGAACGACTTGTAGTAAGAGTAGTTTCTTCGTTCTTGTTCAGAAACTGTTTAATGTTATCATTTTAGAAAATCAGACTGAGTTATTTTTGTGAAAGAATGCAATAGTCTCCACTATTTTTATGACGTTTCGTATCAATGTTGATTCGCATCAGAAGAAGCAAAGATTTATTGTAACAATTTCAATAGTTCAAATGTAGTAGTTTGTTAACGTCTAATTCTTGCGTATACTGTATGACTCGCTATAATAAATGCGGTAGAATTGGAACGAAATGGCTGGGTTTTTTTTTTACCTTATTAATGTTGTGTTGTGATTGAAAAGAACATCGACAAAAAGCTTGCAAATAGAATTAGTTACCAAATATGTTACAAAGGATGCTCAAAAGGAAAGTCTGGTAGGGGAGTCCAAATCTGCGAAGGGGGGTCCATATCCGCTAGCGGATTTGGATCGGGGGGGTCCAAATCCGCGGATGGTCCAAATCCACTGTGACACCGGCTCACCAGGAAGAAAAAGGAGATCGTTCGGTCCAATAACGTTAGTCTGTAGAGATTATCAAGCTAATAACTGAGAAGATCGCGCCCTTTGGTTCATCAGTGACGGCATTAATTATTTCAAATCTGTATTTCTCGGTCCAAGCGACACCAAAAATAGTTCCTTTGTAATTTTGCAAGCACTTTTTCTAGCATTTTATCGTCAACGGAAATAAATCTCAAGGCTCAAAGTCAATATAACATTCGAGCACGTGAAAGACTCCCTAAAAAGGTAAATTTTTGGAATTTGATTTTGATGAAATCCCTGTTCCGTTTGCTGTACTGCAGGGATACTGAGTAGTTAAAAATCTCCACTTTGTGATGATTTTGGCGCGAGTCGTACAAATTGCTATTGCGGCGACTGGGTTTTACATGTAGTACTGCCGCTGAAAAGTTGAGATTTCTGCTCTCAGATTCTCAGTGTTTACGAGCGACATGGCAACAAGAATGCTGCGACCTTTAAAAAGGGCATTTTTGTGCATCCCCCCTGAGCGCCTATCTGCATGCAAAATTTGAAGGGGGGTTGAAAATTTTCATTTCCCAAGATGTTTGATTCTTACAGAGACTTGTCCTTAAGCCCTAATGCAAATGATACCACATTGGAAAAATTAAATCTATTGCTTAGTTCTCAACATCTTTTGACTTTCTTGATACTGGTCATGGGATCTGCTGGAACTTCTAGTTACTATAACTGTATAGCTTTGACCTAAAGACACCATTCACAACATAATTCCAAGGTACATTAGTCAATGGTGCCTGATAGCTTAAGGAAAGCTGACTTCAAGTGCACCAAGGATCACAATTTCAAAAGTTGTGCGTACTGACATAAATTCAAGTAATCATCATTTTTTTTTTGTGGAATAATATACATGGAAAATTACAAATGTGAAGATAACTGTCCTCAATGCGAAGTATGGCTTTTTAGGGTGACAACTTTGCACTTGTGTTGCAACTTTACACCCCTGTTACATGAAAACTGCACTAATTTTCAGCCCACGAGACAGGCGTAATTTTTTTCATGTATATTATTCACGAATACATGACTCATGTAAATTGGTTGTCTTTGAAACATTAACTAGTGCTTGTGAACACCAAATTACACTAGAAACCATATTATTAACTATACAAACTGTCGACATGTATGATAGAAAACAAATTAAAACACAGGCATAAACAAAATACATATAACATAAAAATGTGTCAATTGAAAAAATTTAAAATTGCATTTCTAAACAACCAATCCTAGATAAATACTATACTTCTTCCTTGTTCTTGTAATGACATTATGCTAACATTGTTAACAGTAAGTTCTGTAACTATTATTTTTTCTTTATGTAAGGGTGGGGGGGAGGGATGTTAGACTGATATACAGCATACTATTATTCATATCACATCTCCTCTATTTTTAATTAGAAGACTCAACAGATACTCAATTAAAAAGGCAACAATATTTAGGTTACTAAATTCATGTAATCTTATTCAATTACACAAACAAGTTTCATATTCTACTTTTGTTTACTTAATTTCACTGTAGGAGAAGCATGTGTACGTCTAAGCCTTGCAATGGGAATTTCTCTTCATGCAACATTAGAACTACCAATTGAAACTGAAAATGTTCCAAAAAAATTGTTTTAAAATATTACATGTATGTCAGCTGAATTTTACACATAATTAGGACTCAGACATGGTTTGATGCTACTCTGGTTTAAAGATTTAATAAATGTAACCGAGAAGTTACACTACATATGGATTAAGCTTTTAAAATTATCTTTTTCAGTTCTTAGACATAGTTTTTGTCGAAATTAGAGAATAAATAGTCGAGCATTTGCAACGACACCTAAAACAACAATTTCTGTCGCACACCTGACAGTTGACCTGCAATTTGCAACCATTTGTTATGATTGAAATAATATGATTGTAAAGTAACAAAAATTCTCGCACGGAGCAGTTCGCACTTCCTTCGTGCTGGCCGAAGCGGCTTATAAATATTACACATCTACAACGGAAAATGGTTGTCTCTTCAGGCGTTGATTTTAACCTAACTACTGCATGAGTATAACATTTGTTGAATTCGTAATAAATTGTATGGAAAGTAAATTAAACTTACCGAGATGGTTTATGCTTTTATAGATAGGACTTTGAACCCTTATCGGGCAAACGCGTCGTTGCTAGTGCTACCAGGATCCTAGAAATTATGGTTCATGGCGCTCCTGGGGGTAATGAAATCATCAAAAGTGGCAAGGTTTCAATTGTTGCTATTCACCTCTGAGCAATGGCCGCGGGATTTGCGCCAAAAATATTGTAATCGTGGCAGGAATAAAAGAGTTTAAAAATCATCTTCTTCTGCCTTATAATCTCACTGTTTTAGCATATACCAAAACTACTATTCATCTTTAGTGTCGATGTCCAGTGATGGTGGTTAAATTCAACACTAGCCACCTCCATCTGAATAGTTGTTATCTAGCCAATGAAAGGTTCAGTTTGAAGACAAAAAAAATGGATGAAATTAACTTTAGGTTGATGCCTGTTCTGACATTAAATATTTTATGGCTGAGTTTCTCTCGTCTAGGAATTAGTACAAATCAGAGTTAACTATGTTTGATTATTTGCACGATTACTCCCTGAATTGTGCTCCATAAACTTCTCAATTTGAAACAAATGAACATTAGGAAAATGCAATAATTTTCAATCCTTATGGGTTTAGTATGAGCATTGAAAGGTTTTTTAGCAATGACTAGAGTAATTTTCTTTTGAAGTGTAACAAAACGCTTAACGAAGTGTAACAAAACGACACCAGTTGACATGTTTTGTATACATGCCTCAGTCTTTTCATCAAGACCCAAGAGTTTTACCTCGAGTTTCGGTTTTGAGAATATGCAATTAACGAGGATTTGATCCTCGTTTCTCCATCACATCACTCCTTTTGCTCATAGTGTTCTTCGTGATCTTGTGGTCGGGGCCCAAAATATCGTTTTGAATTACTAAGGCCTCAACGAGCTCCTCCAAAGCCTTATCAAATTGTCCTTGAAGGACTAAGACATCGCTAAGCTGTACGCACGAACGAGCTGTATCCAGATGATGACCCAACAGCCTCTTTCGTAGCCCTTGAGCTTCCCTGAAGTACATCTCGGCCTGGTCGATGTAACTTCGATCAGGGCTTCCAGCCGCAAGGGTCTTGTACGAGTCAGCGATGTAGGACAAAATTGAAGCTGTCCAGGGGTGGTCACCAAGTTGCTCTTTGTAAACTGGAAGAGTGTTCTCTTTCCATATGGCGATTGCTTTTTGATGATCACCACTCAGTCGATAAGAAACTAACAAAGTGTGAAGACAAGATATAACTTTTATATAGTTTAATGAATCCTTACCGCGTTTCAAAAGGAAACAACTGGTATGAAGAAAGAGACTGACCTCTTACGAGGGTGATTTTGTTAAAGAATATAAAGCTTGTAAGCCGTAAACTTGTTAAGGGTTATTTCTCAAATGGGTTAGAAACATTAGTTTCCTTCTCAAATTAACAAATCCCACCCCATATCACAAATCAGCTCATTGTCAGACTAACCAAGGAACATCAACCCATTAACCCCAAGGTCCCCAACTTCGATCTCCTTGCAATACCACCTTTTGAATTAAACATTGAGCGCATGAAAAATAAATCAAATGATTGCCAATTAAAGAAGCGAGATCTTGGTTGTTGACTAAATTCTCCTCGTCAATAGTATCGGAAATTTTTTTAGAACAGTATGGAGAATATCCATGCGGAAGTTAGGTTGTTAGGATAAGGCATTCAGAAATGCTTGTTTCACTTTCACGTCGAAGCCTATAGACAAGACCATTCCCTCTTTCTCCATGAAAATAAGACTCGACGAGATTCCACTACATTAGTTTAGTTTTTTCTCTTTTCAGTTCCCATTTAATTGGAAATTTATTTGTTTTTCTCTCGGTTTATTAAAAGAAAGCACCCAGTTCGGAATTTCACAGTGCGCTTTGTCACCCTTTTAGCCTCCATCCAGTCTCCTACAAGGATACGCTTGTGTTATACGGAGTGCAAACCAAAATATTTACTTACTGCCAAGGTCACAGTATCCAGCAGCAACATACAAACAGTCACTTAAAGAATTTCTTATTGAAATCCCTTCCTGTATCAGCTCTCGTCCTTTTTTTTCTTCTCCCTGCAAAACAAACAACTTATGTAAATATTATGGTCCAGTCTACCTTAGTGCGAGTGACACCCCATTAGGATTGACACAAACTCGCCCATTTCCGCCATTATTGATAACGTTTCATCAGATTTCCTACAATCTTCGGTACACGATAGGAACTTGCGCACTTCGCCTTGGCGTAAGATTCTCATAAGCCCCACAAACAAAAATGAAGGGATGGTACTTAAAAAGGAAGCCATTGAGAAAATTTACCTTAAACAGGAAGAGATAAGGAGGAAAATCAAAACAAAAAAAAGACAGCACACAGTCCTCTTTTATAATTACTACGATCTCACCTGCAATACAAAACATACTCCGAGCTTACTAGCAGTGTGCGCATGCGTTTGGGACTTTAGTTCCTCCTCTGGTAGTGTCCTGCGCATGTCATATGCTTCCTGAAACTTTGCAAGTGTGACTTGGTTTTCTTCTGGGCTGTCTTTGCTGTGAGACACGTCACAGAGACGACGGAATCCCAGTGAATTCAAGCTCTCTGCATGCCTCTTCTTATCACCGGACGCTTTAGCAATATCACAGCATTTCTGGTACAGCGCTGTGCACTCTTTAGGGGGTGTTAGAACTTTTGCCACAAAATCCAGCACTTCTGTACCGTTAACGACGTCTAAAACGAAATATTTGTCATCTAAATCGCTAGAGTCTTCGAGACAATTCTTCAGCGCTTCCATGATGTTGGCTTTCTGCTGTCGAAACTTAAGGATCGCAACCAAAGCTGAATCTTTGCTAATAAAATCCTCGCCCAAGACTCTCAGTTGACCAAGGTAATGATGGTTAAATTTACGCTGTGTGGCACGCCACATGTCACCCTTGCCTGGTGATTCATTCTCTGTCCGGAAGTAGGCTTGGACCAGAGGATGCATCCTCATCTTTCCATCGGCGTCCCTCTGAAGAAGAGCATACTTGACCATCCTAGTCTTCACTGTTTCACAGAGTAAAGGATCTTCAAAAAGAAACTGAATGTCTTGAGCTGTGAACTCCGATGGGAAAACAGAAAAAAGGACAAGATTTCCTTTTACCTCGTCGGAAAAATCGGCAAAAAATACTTCCAGCGTGTCATAAACATCTTTCGCACTGACCCTCAAAAGTTGTATGGGATTCTTCACGAGCTGTTGGATTAACAGCTCGCGACTGAAACCATTGTTCAGCACGTCAGAACAGGTCACAAGAAGGAGTGGTATCCCACCACATAATTTAGCAAGTTCCTTGGAGTGTTCCTCACTACAGTCATCAACAAGACTCCGAAGCAGTTTAGCAGACGAGTCAGGATCCAAAGGTTCGAGAGGAAACTTACATACGTCTGGCGACACGAATCCAACGTGTCTTCGAGTAGTAATTACCAACTTTACATTCGGGGCAGATTTCACGAGCCATTGAGCGAATTCATCAAACTCCTCGCTCTGTATATTCTCTGTATTGTCTAGGACAATGACAGTTGGGATATTTCGCTCCGATAGTTTACGCTTCACAAGAGACGTAAAATTAGCGGTTTCCGAATAGGTGCGACTACTCAATCGATCAAGAATCTCACTGCAGATGTCTTCGAGCTTCTGATGATGACTTTCTACTCGAATATGTGTTACAAACTGGTCACCCCTCTGCTTTAACAAGTGACTTACACGGATTCCAACTTCAGTCTTCCCCATTCCTGGGATAGAAAGAAGAACAACCATACGAAAGATTTGCAGTTTCTGTAAGATTTTATCTACGTCCGCGTCTCTTCCAACAAAGTGTGCGGTTAAATACGGAAGATTTCGTGGTAAACCACCCGGCGACGACGGTACACCTAAAATACGAAAGAAAAAAAGTTTGAACAGATACACGAACGGTAGCCGACCACAACAGTGTCCCAAAAACATGCCGAGGATATACCAGTGTAACCCTAAATATGAGACCCCAAATAGGCCCTTAAAGATTGTGCTAGTATAATTTTTTGGCATAGTAATATGCATGACAAAATTACTGTGATCCAATGTGGCTATCAAAGAGAATAACAAAGAACATTTAACAAAACATAAGGGTATGGACGTTTTTCAATGTGCTCTTTTTATAGCCACGCAGTAACCATATCTGGGAGCTTCTCCGGACAAAATTCAAGTTTGTAAGTGTTGTGTCAAGACACTTGGAGGTCATGAGCATTTTTAGCAAAAGAAATCTTCAACCCCATGATGGGGAAGCTCACTGCCTTGATGAACTGGCTGGCAAATACTATCAAACGCAAGCTATATTCTATCAAATCTAGCTTTAGCTAAGTTGGAACAGTGTAATCCTATTATTCACACTCTTAAGGGAAATTTATAGTACCTGTAAAATTTGAGAAAGAACTGTGGGAGCAAATGGTGAGGAAGCTAACAAAGCTTTTTTGGATCATACACTGTAAAATTAAAAGAGTTGATTTGGCCCCAAAAATGGGGCCAAAACGAGTGAGTCCAGTTTGGCACTCGCTTAGGGTCAATTCGGCCCCATTGAAATGGGGCTGTTTTTGGCACCAATTTTGGGGCTGAATTGACCCCGTTATAGGGGCCAAATTGGACCATGTGAAGGGTGAATTTGAAAAATACAGGGGCCACTTTGAAATTTATAGGGGCCAAAACAGCCCCTGAAATTTCAGCCCTCCCACAAATGGCCCGTTTAAAAAGAGCCAATTCAGCTCCAATGTGGGCCACTTCAGAAGTAGAGGGCTCTTTCCTCTCCATGCTGATTTTCCCCCTTACATTCAAATAATGAAAATAAAAGCACATACTTTATCTTTCAAACACTCATTTATTAGGTTCTAGATATTGTTTATGTAAAAACCTTTTATGCTACCTGATTTTACAGTTATTAAGAATCTTAATTGTGGTATATAACATACATACATATTTAACATTAATTCAACCATTTTCTAAAATAGATCTCTTCCCTAAATCAGTATACTTCTTAACAGTGCAAGCATTGCAAGACATTACACCCAAGAGACACTTGTGAGTAAAGCTTCCCTTTTCAATGACTTAGCAAATGTGGTAATGTAAAGCAGCTTATAATTAAGACTGATTTAAAGTACAGAAAATTATCAAAATAAGACAGAGGCAACAAATGGTCCAGTTCCTGCACAAGAATATAGATCTTGTTTGATTTGTGCATATGAAAAACAAAGAGCCTTAGAGCAGCAAAGAGTATTCTTCCAGTGGATGTGAGAATACATGCACTCATATTGCTACCTTAGATATTATCAAAATATAAACTATCAGCAAGTACTACCGCAGGCACTTGCCAAGTCATTGAAAACAGAGGAAACAGTGACAAGAGTCTGCCTGTGCCCAATTTCAAGCAATGCTTGCTCTAAAAAAAGTCAAAATTGCCTTTGACCGATTGTAAGAAAATATAAATGAGCCAAGTAACCCAATGAGAGCATCAAGAATCTTTTCTTGTGAGAAATGACAAATTACACTTCCCTCTGTTACTATATTCAGGTGATTGATGTATTGAAGATCTCCAACAATTAAAATTTGTGCTGGACATAATCTCTGATTGCTGAATCAACATCAGCTACTCTATGCAATAAAAACAAGTTTTACAACCACATTAAAATCAAGCCAAAGTGCAAAAAGTGCCTGTAGCCAGAAAAAAAAAAGAATATATATATACACACTTAAGTTAAAGAATTAAAGAGGACGCATCAATTCTCTGTGACTGAGTTTTGTGCCTAAGTGCTTGTCAGACAGAAAAGTTCTGTCTGACAAGCGTTTAGGTGCGAAATTCAGAGTCACAGAGAATTGATGTGTCTTCTTTAATTCTTTAACTTATGTATACTTAGCTCTGCTACCACAACATTGAGCACTTTATGCCAAGGTAGACTCTACCCCCACATTTATATATGTATATATATATTGTTTTTCTAAAACTATAAGCTAAAACACCAGAAATGGAAGTGGAAGTTTAGCTCAATGTGTGTAATTTGTCTCCCATTCAAGACTTGAAAAACTAATGTATGACTCCCAAAATATCTGAAAAAAATCAGCTATTCTATGTCCAATATTTATCTAATGGTTTGACAACAGGAATATTTTAAAAAATTGCAAAATCAAAAACTAAACAAAAAGGCAAAATTAATACAACCCCAAAGTACTTGAACCTTTGTATCTGGACTTCATTGGCAAATGGGCTCAGAAATTTTAGCTGTTCATCTTAGTACCAAAGTAGCAGTTTTTGGACATGTACCTCCAAAATGGTCACAACTTCATTAAATGCATGTGATGACAAACACACAAGAACAAAGGTCATGAACTTAAAAGGTGAGAGTGATTATTTTGCAACTTTTTAGTTTAAGGCAAGAGATTCAGCACCACAAAATTGTCTCTCTTCACTGCAAGCAGAAGAGGTGAAGCAATAGATTTTTAGACCACACCAATCCATTCAGTTTCCAAGTCAACTTAGTCTAGTATCCTGCTAACCATACAAGGATACTCTGCAATAATTTTTTTTTTTGCAATCCACTGTTGCTCAGAGTACTTTAGGCTGCTGATGAGATATCCCTTCTGGGTATCCAACTCTACTGAGGCAGAGAACTGTACAAAAAAACAAACAAATGAGCAAATTAATTTGTTGTTGGAGAACAGTAAATTTTTGCGACTACAAACTGTGCATAAGAAGTAAAAACACAATAATGGTGATCATCAATGATGTATTTTCACCAAACTGTATATGTACTTATCAAGAAAAGAAATCATACCTCTATGCACTTCAGTTTTAGTTCAGTATTCATGAATAAATAAGGATTGCTTGTAGACTTAAAAAACAAAACAAAGAAAAGTTTCTTACCCTCGATGGTAGTTGGAATTTTGAAAGCCATTCAGGAGGAACCTGTAGGTAAATATTTGTTTTCAAAAAAATTAAACTGTCTGATAACATCCTATCAATTCTCTAATTTTTTAGTTTACCAGATTTAAAAATTGGGTTTACTTTGTTTTATGCATGGTGCAAGTAAATACATATCTAATATATTTCAATAAAAATAAAGCAAATCTCGCCATTTTTGTAGGTGCAATCCCCGAGATTTTTCATCCTTAACTGACCAACTGGCACCTTGTGTATTTTCCTTTAGGATATAATCGAAAGAAAGTAATCGATAATGTACTCTTCACCATCCTGCTAAGTTTAATATACAAGAACTTACTTAGACAGTGCTCAGTTCTGTCGCCTCGTCCGTAAAACAGAGATCCTTGGGCGATTTACCCTTTTCTTTCGGTGCCAATGTCACCTCTAAATTTTCATAATCGCTGATGTTATCTGAATCATCAATCGACGTTTGAACCGTCTTACTCGAAGGACTTGATTCTGCACGCTGAAAGAGTGAGAGCCAAAAAATCAGCTTAAGTGGATGCAAACAAAGACATAGACATAAAAATATCAGTTCATCTTTTCAAGAAAAAGATTAAGAATTCAGAGTGAGAGATCCTAAAATCAGAGAATCTTGAAATAAGTTAAATCCATCTTGTGCAAATGCATTATTCGAACTGTAACCGTTTCTATCTCTCGGCGCCAAAATTTGATCACGTGACTTTAGTTGCGAAACCGCTGAGACTCAACAAGACTCGCGAGAAGAGGCGAACCATTCATGCGTCAAATTCTCTGGTGGGAAAATTAATTATCGTACCGACGAAGAACTCGTGTCATCTCTAGGTTCAGCGTTCATTGCAATCAATTTCTTGAGCTTCAGACGCTCTTTTATAATAGGGATGTAGTGCCTTGGTAAGTCTGCATCTTGGGCGATTGCAAGGAGATCTTGGCCATCGCAACCGTCTTTTTCTGCAAGATAAGATACGAACAAAGATCAATGGAGCGGTCAAGTTTGTGAATGTAAAGTTGCAGTAAAATACGTTGTTAAGAAATTTCTTTTGCCTACCTTTCCTTTCTTAAGTCTCATTCCATGCGACTGTAGCCAAGAAACAGCCTCTTCAGCGACGAATTCGCTGCTATAATTCATTATTGTTTCTGACGCACGTGGTCTAGGTTCGACTAATGCCATCACAGGCAGCTCACGCTCACGTCTCGAGAAAAAGCCAACGATTAATTCGTTGTGTGACTCGGTGTTCAGTTACGAGAGGAACCGTTGAAAATTTGAACACTTTATAAGGAATAGTATAGGGAACGAAATATGGTCGAAAAAAGAAAATTATTTTCATATTTTCTTTTTTTTTTTTCAAAAATTGCACCTCGTTGGGGCCAAATTGGTCAATCCTACTTGGCTCTTGGAAGGGCCAAATTGAGAAAAAGTTCCAAAGTAGAATTCATAGGGGCCAATTCAGATTTTGGAGGGGTCGAAATGGTACCTGTGCCGCCCATTTTGGCTCAAATAGTCCAAAACGAACCTTGATGGGCCAAACTGGCCCTCGAGAAATTGGGGCCAATTTGGCTTTTGGGGTCAATTTGGCTCTTTTCATTTTACAGTGTATGGTGCCTGAACTCTCAAGTGGAAAGATTCATGAAGGGGTTACTCACGCCTGACTAAGCCTTTAAGAATTCAAGCACCTTCCATGTTAAAATTAATTTAACATACACTTACAAGATGCCAAATAGTCCTTATGGCCTGATTACAGAATAGAGGATACGCTTAATTTGCTTATTGGGTTTTTAGATGAAGAAAGATATGACAGATGCATTGTAATATGACAGAAGTGTTAGTGACCATGGTATCATAAGTTTTTGTCTGTTAACCAATGTTATCCTATATCAGTTCTTAACATCGATTCATTTTTAATGATATCGTGCATTTGTTGGCGGTCGATGTCCGTCTAACAAGAAATAAGGAAATTTTGTCGGGAAAAATTTCTTTGCTGTCGGCGCTCAAATTTTGTTTTCTTCGCTCATTAGATTTTTTTCCCGTTGACTTGGACTCCTAATACCTGTATGGTGGTCAGATATTGTTGGAAACGTTCTTTCTTCGCGATTTGATTTGTCTCGAAGTGTTCGGAGCATGTACACTGTAAAATGAAGAGAGCCAAATTGACCCCAAATGCCAAACTGGCCCCAATGTCTTGAGGGCCAGTTTGAACTCTCGAGGTTCGTTTTGGACTATTTAAGCTAAAACGGGTCGGACAGGTACCATTTCGACCCCTCCAAAATCTGAATTGGCCCAAATGAATTCTACTTTGGAACTTTTTCTCAATTTGGCCCTTCCAAGAGCCAAGTAGGATTTACCAATTTGGCCCCAACGAGGTGCAATTTTTGAAATGACTGATAATTACCCCAAAATTGTCAACAATTTTGGTCACATGGAAGTCCCATCACGACTTGAACGACACAAGGACGTAGGGATTTGGGATGTTATAAGGGCAATAAACCAGTAAAAGTAAATTTTTCGCTCGGTCGAGACCGGCACAATAAACTATCGATTGACTTACTCAACTTAATGCTTTAAATTTTTTAATAAGTAAAATTTTGTCATAAAAGGTGTTTCTCTCCAAAATTCGTCCTTCTTGTGCTAGTGCGTCTTAGCAGCTCCTTCTGCGTATCGCATCAGTCGAACCTAGACCGCGTGCGTCGGACACAATAATGAATTATAGCAGCGAATTCATCACTGAAGAGGCTTAAGTCGCATGGAATGAGACTTAAGTAAGGAAAGGTAAGCAAAACAAATTTCTTAACAACACACTTTATTACAGCTTTACATACACAAACTTGACCGCTCCATTGATCTTTGTTCGTATCTTATCTTACAGAAAAGGACGGTTGCGATGGCCAAGATCTCCTTGCCATCGCCCAAGATGCAGACGTACCAAGGCACTACATCTCTATTATAAAAGAGCGTCTAAAGTTCAAGAAATTGATTGCAATGAACGCTGAACCTAGAGATGACACGAGTTCTTCGTCGGTACGATTATTAATTTTCCCACCAGAGAATTTGACGCATGATTGGTAGCGGTTCCACAACTAAAGTCACGTGATCAAATTTTGGCGCCGAAAGATAAAGACGGTTACAGTTCGAATACTGCGTTTGCACAAGATGGATTCAACTCATTTCAAGATTCTCTGATTTTAGGATCTCTCACTCTGAATTCTTAATCTTTTTCTTGAAAAGATGAACTGATATTTTTGTGTCTGTCTTTGTTTGCATCCACTTAAGCTGATGTTTTTGGCTCTCTCTCTTTCAGCGTGCATAATCAAGTCCTTCGAGTAAGGCGTTTCAAACGTCGATTGATGATTCAGAAAACATCAGCGATTATGAAAATTTAGAGGTGACATCGGCACCGAAAGAAAAGGGTAAATCGCCCAAGGATCTCTGTTTTACGGACGAGGCGACAGAACTGAGCATTGTCTAAGTAAGTTCTTATATATTAAACTTAGCAGGGTGGTGAAGACTACATTATAGATTACTTTCTTTCGATTTTATCCCAAAGGAAAACACACAAGCTGCCAGTTCGTCAGTTAAGATGAGAAATCTCGGGGATAGCACCTACAAAAATGGTGAGATTTGCTTTATTTTTATTGAAATATTTTAGATATGTATTTACTTGCACCATGCATAAAACAAAGTTAACCCAATGTTTAAATCTGGTAAATTAAAAAATTAGTGAATTGATAGGAAGTTATCAGACAGTTTAATTTTTTTGGAAACAAATATTTACCTATAGGTTCCTCCTGGATGGCTTTCAAAATTCCAACCACCATCGAGGGTAAGAAAATTTTCTTTGTTTTGTTTTTTAAGTCTACAAGCAATCCTTATTAATGCATGAATACTGAACTAAAACTGAAGTGCATAGAGGTATGATTTCTTTTCTTGATAAGTACATATACAGTTTGGTGAAAATACATCATTGATGATCACCATTATTGTGTTTTTACTTTTTATGCACAGTTTGCTTACATATATTTTGCAACTTTGTAGTTGCAAAATTTACTGTTCTCCAATAGCAAATTAATTCGCTCATTTGTTTGTTTTTTTGTACAGTTCTCTGCCTCAGAAGAGTTGGATATCCAGAAGAGATATCTCACCAGCAGCCCAAAGTACTCTGGGCAGCAGTGAATTGCAAAAAAAAAATTTGCATAGTATCCTTGTATGGCTAGCAGGATACTAGACTAAGTTGACTTGGAAACTGAATGGACTGTTATGGTTTAAAAATCTATTGCTTTGCCTCTTCTGCTTGCAGTGAAGAGAGACAATTTTGTGGTGCTGAATCTCTTGCCTTAAACTAAAAAGTTGCAAAATAATCACTCTCACCTTTTAAGTCCATAACCTTTGTTCTTTTGTGTTTGCCATCACATATGCATTGAATGAAGTTGTGACCATTTTGGAGGTACGAGTCCAAAAAACACCTACTTTGGTACTAAGATGAACAGCTAAAATTTCTGAGCCCATTTGCTAATGAAGTCCACATACAAATGTTCAAGTACTTTGTGTTTTTATTTAATTTTGCCTTCTTTTTGTTTAGTTTTTTTTTTTATTTTGCAACTTTTTAAAAAATTCCTGTCATCAAACTATTAGATAAATATTGCACATGGAATAGCTGATTCTTTTCAGATATTTTGGGAGTCATGCATTATTTTTTCAAGTCTTGAAGGGGAGACAAATTACACACATTGAGCTAAACTTCCACCACCATTTCTTGTGTTTTAGCTTATAGTTTTAGAAAAACATCATGTATATATCCATTTTTTTTACTGGCTACAGGAACTTTTGCACTTTAGTTTGATTTCAATATGGTTGTAAAACTTGTTTTTATTGCATAGAGTAGCTGATGTTGATCCAGAAAGCAACGATTATGTCCAGCACAAATTTTAATTGTTGGAGATCTTCAATAGATCAATCTCCTGAATACCGTAACAGAGGGAAGTGTAATTTGTCACTTCCCACAAGAAAAGTTTCTTGATGCTCTCATTGGGTCACTTGGCTCATTTATATTTTCAATGTTCCTTACAATTAGTCAAAGGCAATTTTGACTTTTTTTAGAGCATGCATTGCTTGAAATTGGTCACAGGCATACTCTTGTCACTGTTTCTTCCGTTTTCAATGACTTGGAAAATGCCTGAGGTAGTACTTGCTGATAGTTTATATTTTGATAATATCTAAAGTAGCAATATGAGTGCATGTGTTCTCACATCCACTGGAAGAATACTCTATGCTGCTCTAAGGCTCTTTGTTTTTCATATGCACAAATCAAACAAGATCTATATTCTTGTGCAGGAACTGGACCATTTTTTGCCTCTGTCTTATTCTGATAATTTTCTGTACTTTAAACCAGTCTTAATTATAAGCTGCTTTACATTACCACATTTGCTAAGTCATTGAAAAGGGAAGCTTTACTCACAAGTGTCTCTTGGGTGTAATTTCTCTCAATGCTTGCACTGTTAAGAAGTATACTGATTTAGGGAAGAGATCTATTTTAGTAAATGGTTGAATTAATGTTAAATATGTATGTATGTTCTATTCTTTCACATGATGTTTCAAAGTTTGTCTGTTTTATATCACAATTAAGATTCTTAATAACTGTAAAATCAAGTAGTGAAGAAGAATTTTACATAAAAAATATCTAGAACCTAATAAATGAGTGTTTGAAAGATAAAGTATGTGGTGTATTTTCATAATTTGACTGTAAGGAGGAAAATCAGTATGGAGAGGAAAGAGCCCTCTACTTCTGAAGTGGCCCACATTGGAGCTGAATTGGCTATTTTTAAGGGGGTCATTTGTGAGACAGCTGAAATTTTGGGGGCCTCTTTGGCCCTTTTAAATTCTAATGTGGCTCCAGTATTTTCCAAATTAGCTCTTCACAAGGTCAAATTTGGCCCTTGCAACTGGGTCAATTTAGCCCAGATCAACTTTGATTTTATCGAAGACCTGACAAGAATTTATCTGTGGTCTGCCAAGACGCATTATTCATAAAGGAAAAACAATGAAAGTATCATTCAGTCTTAGCAAATCTATCTACACACGAGTCTTTACCAGAATCTTACCTTGTTCCTCGATTGAAGCGGCTAGCTCATCGCGTCCGACGTTTCTAAGTAGCCATACCAAATAGGACACGTCTTCTAGGCAGATTTTATCGTGATGGCGTAAGAAGCTCAAAATCTCGCGTGGGTTTTTGATAGCATGGAGCTTTTCTCGTGGT